TGATGTAATAATCAATTTCAGTGGCAAAATGCTCTCCCGATTCACTTCTTTTAAGTTTTTTAACTTTTATGAATTTGTTTTGTTTTGGAGAGCAATTCATTTCGCAAAACATTTTCTCGATATTCTTTAGACAAGAGGGACAGTGATTGAAACCCAAGTGCGCTAAGTTGTAGACCGTTATGAACATACTTTCCAATTGAAATTCATCGCAACACACTTCCGGATCTGCCTTCTCGTGTATGTGTGGACACATGGCCTCAAATAGTGATAACGATTGCAAATTCATTTGGGTATTTTGGTTCAAAATGATTGTATCACTTTTGTTAGTGCAGGGAATTGTACCCAATTCTGTGTCACCACAAATACCCCGCATAACACATACGCCCGCATTCTTGATATTTAAATGATAAAATATTTGGTGTCATAAAACGCTAAACAAGTCTATTGAAAATTTAATTTATATTTACCTGAGAACATGTGAGAGAAATAGTAAAAAGTACAATAAATAATACAAAAGTTGTTTTAATCTTTTGAATATTCATTTTAATATTTGTTAATTTAAACGACTATATTGTATATTATTTAAAATAATTTATTTTAAACTCACTGTTTAGGTATTTGCAGAGATATAACAACTGCTGTAATTCAACAAAACGTCAATTAGTTTAAAGATGTCTTTTGAGGAAATATTTAAATAAAATTCATTTTTGGTCAACAATTAAATCGATTGCATTTCATTGAAAATTCATTGGAAATCATTTGAATTATTAAAGCAATTCGTGTCAAAACTCATTAAAATTATATATTAACAATTATATTACAGAATAATAAAGTCCTTGAGATACAACTCATTAATTAAACAATATAAAAGAATATCATTAAAAATTTCATATAAATCACACTTCACTTCACAAGAAATTATTAATTCAAAGAAAGTAATAAATTATTACTAATAATCAATTCATTTATTAATTATAATTTATAAATGTTGTTTTATTTACAACTCCTATACAAATATAATTTCAAACAAATAAGTTTACATAATCTACAAAATATCTAAATTTATTGTAAAAAATAATCATTTCATAACAAATATATATTTAGTG